AGATTCAGAAACCAAAATGACAACGACAACACGTAACTCAAGAGCGACGGTTTGCGATAACAGCGCCCCCGTCCCCCCACGACGCCCCCCACGCCCCCACCCCCTTATTGTTCATCGCCCAAAAAAACGACGAAGTACTGGAGGTCATCGTGCTGAAGTGGTGCCCTAAATTAGTCATACAGCGCCGAGGTCAACGAAGAGATCACATTACACTGACCAGATAGGAGCTCACGTAGTCATTCCCAGACAGTGGACAAATTTAGACCATTCATGGCTTTTGTTTTACCTCTAGCGATTATAGCGCGGTCACCACTTACATCACCATTAGAGGGGGGGGGGAACAAGAAAAAAACAATTTTTTTTATTTATGTCATAAAGAAACAAATACAGAATTGTGTCGAGCTTTGCGATTAAAATTCACAATCCACTGTAATCCTAACAAAATGACTATGTATGTGTGTAAAGCCAGGGCCGTATAAAAAAAAAAGCTGCGACCGGACGAAGCCTGAGAATGATGCCCCCCCCCCCTCCCCAAATTCGCCAATAAATTATTTATTCTGCAGGTGCCTGATTTGTTTCTCTCTAATAAATCATTTATGTTTTTTTCACATCTCCCCAGAGGATTTCCGCGAGTAGGTCCCTCCTTCACCCTTACCTTTGCACTCCCCTCTATGTCGTTTGACTCTTTAGTGACGTCCACGTTCCGGCTTACCTTCGCACTCCCCTCTATGTCGTTTCACTCTTTAGTGACGTCCACGTTCCGGTCTAAATTATTTTCCTTCTTTTCTTCGTACTTTTTTTTTCTGAAGGGGGATATGTTAACCCTGAAGGGGGATATGTTAACCCTGAACAATAACGATCAACAAATTGTGCTCATTTCAACTAAGACAGAAATGACCCTACATTTGCTTTCGGAGAGGTCACCTTACAAAAATACAATCAATGAATGACTTGGTAATCTGTGAGTCGTGACTGACCTCTGGGACACGTGGTGTGGACCGCTCAGCACCAGGGTTCAGGAAGGATTCAGTTACATGACTAAACTGCGACGCATCGCTTTTTCAATAAATTCTTTCGTGTTGTTTTGTTAACAATGAAGTAGGACATTTTTTCATTGATAAGTGCTTCAAGAATATTCCAGACAACAAAGACTCATCCAGTTCAGATAAACCAAAGCAACGAAGCTCCTCCCCGACACACCCACCCCCAAATCATAAACAAAACGTTCGTTTTCTGTCAAAAACAAGATCATCCCCCCCCCATTACTTACATCAAAAAGGATCTTGCCACGTCACAGCCAAATTTGAGAAATAACCCTAAGTTTAAGTGATAAAAATATCCTTTAAAAAAAAAAAAGTAATTTATACGTTATAATAGATGCAGATGGCAAGAGGATGATTGACGAAACCTATAACCCTGTTATTAGTGTTTTGTCACGCATGTTCATTGAAATTTTCTCCAACAAATTTTTTAAAGTGTACTTTTTGTTCTGTCTGTGGTTGATGATGCAACTATATTAATCTTGTCTATGGCAGTTTAAAATAAGCCACACATGCATTCGCTTTATTAGAGTTTCTAGGTCAACGCTACGGCTACTTTCAAAAAAAAAAAAAAATTGTAGAAATCATATTTTTATGACAAGAATCAAATTAAACTTGCTAAACACCACATCTGCTTCCAGTCTAAATATTCTATTTCCTAACAGCAGAAATGGGAAAGTGTTTGAGAGTATGGGGGCGGTGACTGAACGAGATCTTGCAAGAAACCTTGACCTCACCATGGACACATGAACTCTATGAGCGGAATCTGTCATGACTTCTGGTCCCATTGTTGAGAAGGAAAAGAATGGCTCGCCCCGGTGAATGGCCCACCCCACAACGTAGGTGTCTCATCATAACGGATATTGTATTACTTGGTCATTTGTTTTTTGTTTTTAGCTGAGTTTATTGGTTACCATCAATGCTATTTTTTTGGTCCAAGTTCTCTATCACATAGGTTGAGATTTTGTTTGCTTCAAATAGGAATACAAAAACAAGATGAAAAACACAGGAAAATTTTTCAAACGAAATCTGCCAATTATTTTCAAAAAAAAATTGAAACAGATTTGATAATGTGTGTAAAGATGTATAGATCTAAATTATTTATTTAACCCCCCCCCCACCCCAACCCTCCAAGACTATTTTGTGCATACATGTCTCTTGTCTACTTCCCGAACTAAAAAAAAAAAATGTTTTATTGTTTTCTCATGCAGTTTCAAATGTGCAATCTTCCTCTTGACTTCCAGTTACTTGTATCTTTGTTACAAGATAAACGTAAACAATAAACTTGCTGTCTTTTCCAGTATCTTCAATATTTGGAATACAAATTTAATATGGTTAAGGCTGGGGTTAGGGTTATGGTTATGGTATGGGTTAGGGTTATGGTTATGGTATTGGTTAGGCTTATGGTTAGGTTTATTGTAAGAGTTGTGGTTAGGGTTAGGGTTAAGGTTATGGTTAGGATTAAGTGTAAGGTTAGGGTTAAGACTCTGAGCTTGTTTAGGGAATATAATATTATTTCCCATGAAATGTTAAATGATGGATTCATTTATTAAACTATTTTCCAACGTTTCATGTATGTTTTTAGGTCATCAAACAGAAACAACTCTGATGTTTTTAGTGACATCTATTTCATACTTTTTGGTACATTTTAGGAAAAGTGTGTTTTGTTAACAAAAGAATTTTCGTTTTCTTTTAGTTAATCTAAAAAGATTAACATTTATACACATGTTAAAAATAAGTTAAATAGACAATTGTATAGATTTAGAGTTTCAAAAATTGACAACTATACTCCAGTTCGTACGTATTTTTCTCAAAGTAACATAATTTTGTTGCAATTAACCTACTTCTCTTTATGACTCATAATGAAAGAAAAAAAAAAGCAAGTTTCTCCAATTCTTGTTTCCAGCATCTGGTCACGTGGTCAGAATTTGCTGAGTCTTCAAAAACTCAACGGCCTGTCAATGACAATGAAAAATAGAGAAAGAGTAACAGAAACATACCAAAAAAGAAGATAATAGATTATTCCACTTGTAAAACAGGGGTGTCAGCTTACTGACAGTCTAGTTTGCAGGTCTTTTTTTACACAACTCAGTAATACAAGTGTTTCCAATTCGATTTAAATGATATGTACTTATTGTATTAACTTTATCTACAAATACAAATCGTTCACCATGAGATACTTATGATATTAAAATGACGTCTTAATGAAGATGCTGCCTTCGTTCCCTCAAAGATGACAAAAGTCACAAGATAGACTCGCCCATTGTCTTACGCCTGATAACGGCGGCGAGAGTATAAATAAGGGACGTAATTCCTTAATCTGTACGCCACTTTGTTGGACTGTTGTAATAGACAGACCACAGTCATGGCCCTGCTTTGGTCATTCTTGACTCTTGCACTCTTCGTGGTGAGTAAAATCTTGATCTGTTTTAGTCTTCTGTTTTTAAGCGCATCATCACTGAACAGTTTTGATTTCATCAATGGAGAGCTACATTCATTTCAATAGTCACCTGTTTTAAGCACAACGCATAGCCAAGATCTTGATCTGCCAATAAGCATTCGATCTCTACATAAACAATGTTTTGGATTTGTTAGTTTTTATTTGCATTGCGCCTTGTTGAATTCACCATTTAGCAGCTAACGTAACTAATCCATAGCTCCTTCTTCATTATCATCATGTCCCTTAGTCCTTGGACCGTTGGGGCGCCCCAGATGACATGTGAACTATCCTCCTCCATTCGTCTCTGTCTGCTGCACTGCGCACAGCATCGCCCAGCGTTAGTCCTGTCCACTCTTTGATGTTATCCTCCCATCTTTTTCTTTGTCTTCCTCTTCTTCTCCCTCCTCTTGTGGTCCCCTGCAATATTTCTTTGGCAAGCCATAGTTTCCTTGCTACGTGGCCGTACCATTGTAATTTGCGTTTTTTCACAGTACCCATTAGGTCATCGGACTCCCCAATTGCCTGACGCACCCTTTCCTTCACTGTATCATTGGAGATATGGTTCCTATAGCAGATGCCAAAAATGCTTCTGAAGCATCTCATCTCCATCGCCTTTATTTTCCTTTCAAGATCGGCTGTTAATGTCAAGGATTCGCATGCATACAGGAAAATGGAGAGGACTAATGAGCGCATCAGCCTGATTTTGGTGCTGGGCTATTTTTTTTTTCATTCAATATTTTCTTGAGCCTCTTTAGTGCTGTTGTAGTCTGCGCTATCCTGGACATCAGTTCGGGCTTGGAGCCTTCTTTTGAGGCTATTGCTCCTAGGTATTTGAAGCGGCCTACAGTGTCTAGTCTTTCCTTCCCGACCTTAATTTCAGTGGTGATGCCTCACAATAATTAAATTTCTCATTCTATGACAGCAACAAAAATAAATAAATGTAGCATTCAATAGCTAAATAAAACTTCTTTATACTCTGTATCGCTGGCAACATAAATTGTAATTTTATATTCGAAAACTTAAAGCTACATTATTCATAGTGCAAATCTTCAATCATAAGATATATTAAACATTTTTAAACCAATCATAAACTACATAAACATTGTTAAATCAATCATTAACCACATTAAGTATTGCTTCTTCAATCATTAACCACATTAAGTATTGCTACATCAACCATTAGCTTCATATAACATTTTTAAACACATCACCCAGAAGATACATCAACGGTGTCTAACTCAATCATCCAAAATATACATATAAAGTTTGTAAAATTATTATACTAAACACATCTTGTACTAAACACATCTTGTACTAAACCCATATTGTGCTAAACCCATATTGTACACCGTTAAATTGATCATTTAATGCTTCAATCGACCAATAACTAGATTCAAAATTGTTAAAATTTATTAGTTCATAACTTCATCAAAAATTTCGAAATAATAAATCTTTAAGCGTTGAAGTGAGTGTTTAAATATTTTTAAATGATCAGCTGGTAACAAAAACAATCATCTCCTCAGCTGAGTTTCGGAGACGCCGCCTTGGTCAGGAAGAATGTCGACAACCTCAGTGAGGAGGACATCATCAACCTGCAGAAGGCGCTCCGCGACGTAGCAGACGACAAGTCCGCCAAAGGTTATGCCGCCATAGCCGCATACCACGGCTACCCCGCCCAGTGCAAGGACGCCAGCAACCGTCCAGTTGCCTGTTGCGTCCACGGCATGCCAGTTTTTCCACAATGGCACAGGTTGTACGTGGTGCAGTTGGAGCAGGCTCTCAAAGAGAAAGGTAAGCGTCTTTGTTTTAAATTTTTAAAAATTTGGAAATCTGAACAGTGAAGACAAAATCAAAGATAACATTTTGTCAAATTTTTAATTTTTTAAATATTTTAAATGTTGCTTTCTATATAAAATTAAATTATATCTTAAAACTTCATACTAAAAAAAGTGCTATTTTTTTTTATTAATACTTTTAAGGTCTCTGCATAATCACTAACTATTTTGTTATGAACTGGTGTTGTGAGCGTAGTCGGGATCTGAGTGGAAGGTAGTCGAACATGTGTTGTTTACTTAAGACTGGTTGTGTTATTAAACGAAAGTGTAAAAGGTCAATTAACAAGTGAGTTGTCTAGATGTCGTTACAGAATTATCCTCTTAGTGTTAAGTTATATTGAGTTTTCGTTAGAGAGTTGTCATCGTAGTGTGTTAAGTTATGTGCAGGTGAGTGTTCCAAAGTGTTGTTGTCAGCCGGTGGTCGTGATCTCAGCCTCAGGGTGTTAACAATCGAGTTTGATTCTGGCGTATGTGCAACCTGTGGTTTTAATCACAGTGTAATATCAAATAAAAACTTGTCGTCTTAAACACAGTGTAATATCAAATAAAAACTTGACGTCTTAAACACAGTGTAATATCAAATAAAAACTTGTCGTTTTAAACACAGTGTAATATCAAATAAAAACTTGTGGTTTTAAACAAAGTGTAATATTATATAACAACTTGTGGTTTTAATCACGGTGTAATATAAAATAAAAACTTGACGTCTTAAACACAGTGTAATATCAAATAACAACTTGTGGTTTTAAACACAGTGGAATATTATATAACAACTTGTGGTTTTAAACACAGTGGAATATTATATAACAACTTGTGGTTTTAAACACAGTGGAATATTATATAACAACTTGTGGTTTTGTACACCTTGTAATTTTTTATTAAAAAAAAAAAAAACTGCTGGTTTTGAACACGGTGTAATATTAAAGGAGAACGTGTACATCAAGAACTCTGTTATTTTCACTAGACATCGCTACTTATTGTAGTCACCAAGAACGGCCGTAAACGAAAGCGTTCGTTAGACATAATTGTTTCCCTAGGCAACAAGTGGAGCCTGTCCAACTGCCCGTTCAGTCTCCACAGGTACTGCGGGAGTTTGTTAACTGTAAGAAGGAAGATCGCAACATTTGATATACTGTAAACTTCCTTAAGAATGTAGATCACAACAACATATATTAATGACTATTTTTAGTGAGACTAGAATGAAAGATTCCAGATGTTGAATTGTGGCGGTTATTTTTCTAGAAGAAAGATAAAAGTTAACTAAATTTGACTTCAAGAGTTTATGAGGTCAACTTTGTTTTTTTTTAACGACATAATATTACTTTTTGATAGTAAAAAAAAAAAATGAAATGTACATAATAAGGAACATAATTAGAGACATTTTGAGAATATTTGAGAATGGGGATGTTCTGATAATTTTGGACTAAATATAATCCACGATTTTGTTTATAAATTCGTTTATATTTCTCCAGAGGGAAATATTTCTGAATAACATTCAGAGAATTAATTTGAGCATTTGTTGCATAAGAAAAATATTAAAACAATCGGAAAATCTTATAATGAAGTGAGTGAAACAAAAAAATTGATGAATTATTTGATTTGTACATGAAAACTATCCTATATCCTAAACTTGTTCATCTCATGGGGATGGTGTCGCTGGAATGTAAACCAAATTTAAGAGCGGAATTCTGTCACGGTTTTAAATCCCTGCATAGAAAAAAGAAAGATAAACCTTTTGAATTTGTCCAATTGTACTGAAGTAAACTGATCAAGACATTACTTTGAAAGGAATAGTTTGGATTGAAGTAAGCTGATGAAGGAAGAAATTACTTTGAAAGGAATATGTTTGGCTATATATTTAAATATATTTTGTGCTCTGTTTAAAACAAGTTCTTTCTAAATTACCCACCACAATTTTCAGACGCTTACATTAACACCTTAACTACATTGTCCACTTATCAGTTTCAAACACAACTGTAATGAATAGACATATTTTTAGACAGAAACTAAAAAAAAAATCAAACACAGCTATAACGTCCACATCTGCTTTCAGGTCTCAGCATTGGTATCCCATACTGGGACTGGACCCGCCCACTCACCAAACTGCCCGACCTGGTCAGCCAGCAGGTCTTCATTGAGAGCGACGGCACCAAGGCCAAGAAGAATGTCTGGTACCAGGGAGACATCGAGGTCGTTGAGAACTCCAAGACCGTCATCAGGCACACCGCCAGAGCTCTGGATGACAGACTTTTCCAAAAGGTTCTTATTATTCAACCTTTTTACATCACGCATAGTACAATAGAAATAATTCGATGCAGAAATGACTTATCCACTAACTGAGTCTTTGGTTTAATCTGATTAAATTATGTGCTTGAATAGTAACTAACCACAATTTTATAGTAACATTGTAATAATATTTCTTTGCGCAACTTATTTTTTAAAAACGTTATTGATGTACGCAATTTATTGTGTTATTTCAAAAAGTAGTCTAGTACTTTTAAAGGATGACAATTATGATGTTTATTCGTGTAAATAAAGATGTTTAATCATATAAATAAAGAAGTTTATTCATGCAGGCTGGCTGTTATTTTTTATTAAAGTAATATGTTAATTTTTCCCATGAAAGATGTCATTTCACGAAAGTAATGCTTTATTAATATAATTTACTTTCCGCAGGTCGAACCCGGTCAGAACACCGATCTGTTCGAGCAAGTGTTGAATGCTCTCATGTACCCCAACTACTGCCAGTTTGAGGTCCAGTTTGAGATTGCCCACAACACCATCCATTACCTGGTCGGTGGACGTAACAAATACTCCATGTCTCACCTCGAGTACACCTCATACGATCCCATCTTCTTCCTGCACCACTCCAACGTCGACAAGATCTACTCCATCTACGAGGCCCTGCAGAAGGAAAAAGGCTACACACCTGGTAAGAAGTAGCCACCTGTTACTAGATGAACTAAGCATAAACATTATCCTCCTTAAAATAGCAGGCAAAATTTTTCAGCTGCATAATTAATTTTAAAAAAATTGTTCTTTTCCTTTCGAATTTAATCGCCGTCAGCTATTTTACATTTCAATGAATAATTATGTTTCTGGATAATTTATTCTTAATTGGTATAGAATTATAATTCAAAATATAAAAATGCAAGACACAAAAATTACAATTTTTTTTCTCTAAACTCATTGGGTGTTCTACTTAATAGAAATGTATCCTTAAATTTGTTTGTGAGATTCAACCAACGTTTATTAACAAGCATACTTTGATCCATAGTTTCTAAAAAGCATCCTTTGATCCATAGTTTCTAAACAAGCATCCTTTGATCCATAGTTTATTAAACAAGCAAACTTTGATCCATAGTTTTTTAAACAAGCAATACTTTGATCTATATAATGTTTAGGTCCCGGATGCACAGGAAAATGTGAGCTGTGTGACTTGAAACACTTCGATGAACCGTTAGCCCCATTCAGCTGGGAGACCAACCCCTTCGCCGTTACCAAACAGTTCAATCTTCCCAGGGAGGCAGTAGATGGTTCAATCTACGGCTACAAGTAAGCACATCTTTTCATTTACATTCATGTTGAAGATAAAGCCTCAAGGCTTATACAAATTGTTTGGAAATATTTTTTCAACAACAAGCGACTATCCATAAAAAAGTCTTACAAGACAATCATTGTAAAGAGATATAAATAGGTTTTAAGAAGTATTTATATCAATTTTCATTTTAAAAATGTTCAGGAAATCGAGAATTTAATTGAAATGAAAAAATTCAAAATTTTTTTTTGCTCTTCAGATACGACAACCTTACCCTGAATGGCTATGATTTGAACGGCATCAAGCGATTGCTGAAAGAGAAATGGTCGCATGCTGCCTCATACGCCGTTTTCCGTCTGTCTGGCATTTCCACTTCTGCCAACGTCCGTGTTCAGGTTCGTTAAGGTCTTAGATTCTAATGGGATGAAAACTTCAAAGAAGTTCATGTTTATTTTCATATAAATTCATTTAAACATCATTCAGAAGTATTAAAAATGTATGTCAAATCAAGTATATTTCATGAAAGTTGACAAGTATAAATTATAATAATTTATCATTATTATTATTTTAAATACCATTTTACCGGAAGTTCTCAAAGGATAAATTCAGAATTAAATCTTCGTTCAGGTTTGCGTTCCATCTGAAGATGAAGTTACCGGTACCTACTGCGAGTTCGCTGGCGATTTCTTCGTTCTCGGTGGACCCCTCGAGATGCCCTGGGCTTTCTCCAGACCCTACTACTTTGAAATCACCAAGACCGTCGAGAAGTTAGGTCTCGCCCTGGACGGCAACTACCGCGTCGAGGCTGAGCTCTTCAGCGTCAATGGCACCCAGCTGCCCTCAAGCCTCCTTCCTCACCCATTCGTCTCCTACAGGCCAGCCAAGGGAACCGTTGATCGTGAGTCTCATCACATTAAATTTCAATTACATGTGATGATAAATGGGCTTTCAATTAGTACCGAGTCTCATTTATGATTATATTGATGGGATGATATTAATAAGAATACATTCAATAAGTCTCTCTTCTAAAAACACAAAAAAAAAAAAACATTCACACAAGCCAAAATTTAACGTTAAATCACTGCTTGTCAAGTAATGTAATAACATATATTTAAACTGATTTTGTCTGATTTTTACTGGATTATTCTAATTTATATTGTATTTTCTTCTTAATATATTATTTTATTATGATTTGTTTCAAAATAGCAACTCTCAACAATATTATCAAGTAATTATTTGAAAAACAAGACTCCGTTATTTTCCTGTTGTTGCTTTGTATGTATTATAAACTGGTAACTTAAATTTGACTAAACCACATCATACATATTATTATGTTTCCAGCTCCCATTGCTCACAATGAGGTCAACCATGAACATGAATACCACGAGGGTATTTCTGTACGTAAGGACATTGACCGCTTGACCAACGAGGAGATTTACGAGCTCAGAGAAGCTCTCCAGAAGTTCCAGGTACGTGCTTGTATTTAGTTACAAGGTCAATGTATAATGAGGTCCTACAAGTAAATTTAATTATAAGAAAAATTAAAAACAATAGTTTTTTAAACAAATGAGTAAGGCTCGCAAGAATAAAAAATTTATATACATCTGCCCTTGTGTTCACATGATCTTCATCTTAACGAGTCCATATGATCTTCATCTAAAAAAAATAATGTGATCTTCATCTAAACGAGTTCATGTGATCTTCATATAAACATAACATTCGTTTGTGCAGAATGACAAGAGTGTTGATGGCTACCAGGCAATTGCTGAGTTCCACGGTGACCCTGGCAAATGCCCCAATCCCAATTCCAAGAACAGGAAGGCCTGCTGTATCCACGGTATGCCCACCTTTCCCCACTGGCACAGACTCTTGGTTGTACAGGTAAGAAACAACGTTGGCATGGCAATAAGACATAAGGTATAATGTACATAAAATCAGTAGTTTCTCATTAGGATAATCCTTTTAAAAAATTTTAAAAACTTTTGTTAGCAGTGAAAAAAATGTATTAGCCTAGAAATAGAAATATTTTTTAAAGAGTTTAAACTTTCATAATAGCTTTTATCTGGAACACACCAATGCCAGACAACAATTCCGCTAAGCTTATCAAAGTACTTCATTTAACTCACTGTGGTCAGGTTGAAGATGCCCTACGCCGTCGTGGATCTAACATCGGTGTTCCTTACTGGGACTGGACCAAGCCCAGAACATCTGTCCCTAAACTGGCCGCAGATGAGACCTACACCGATCCCACTACGTGAGTACTGAAAACTTTTGTAACTGAATTTAACATGTCAGTTTTACAATAAATAGTCTATAGTGACTATGTGGATGCATTGTTATTTTGGTTAATTTTAGTGATGACTGGATTCAGGTTAAAAAAAAAGAAATGTAAATGCCACGTTAGGAAAAAAACTTTAAATTAGACAAAGAAAACTCTTTTGTTTCGCCTATCTTTAAGTATTACCTAATGCTGTATTTTATGTCTTCTTATTGTTATAAAGAGCCATCTTAAAAATACATGTGAATTTGTGTTAAGATTAAAGTTAAATTCATTGATAATTACAGCCCAAGTTAAACTGAAACAGTACAAACAGGGAAATAAACCAATGTTTCCAAAAGCTACAAGTGTCGCACACAATACCTGCCGTCTTAATCTTAATCTCAGACTTTCAGAAATAACCTGTGAAATGAAAACAAAACAAGCAATAGTTTCAGACGGTTTTAGTTCAATTATACGTGACTAAACATTTTTGATTACAGTAATGAAGTAAAGAGAAATCCCTTCCACGACGCACCAATCACATTCCTCGGTGACTCCACCAAGACAACACGTGACGTCTCTAGCTCACTGAGCGACAGTCCAAAATGGGGAGACCACACCGAGCTGTTTGATGCCTTCCTTCTTGCTCTTGAACAAGACAACTTCTGCGACTTTGAGGTTAGCAAATGATTAATAAGCCGTCGAAAATGTAAAAATTTAAAACATTTAATGTTATAGAGAAATCAAAGGCGTATATGTAATGTTATAGATAATTCAAAGGCGTATATGTAATGCTATAGATAATTCAAAGGCGTAAATGTAATGTTATAGAGAATTAAAAGGCATTTATGTAATGTTGTAGAGAATTCAAAGGCATATATATAATAAGTATGATAATTCATAGTTCAAGAAAAATGTATTAAAATTAAGAAGTTTGTATAACAAAAATTGTAATATGTTAGGACAATCAAAAAATTACTTTTCATTCTTTCCTATTTTTAAAAAGCTTTTCTTGTAATTATTTAATTAATTAAATATTGTTTTCATTTAAAAAAAAAACAAGAACACATAAAAAACTGTACATTAATTACTTGCCCATATTTTCTACCGTCCCATAGGTTCAGTTTGAGGTCGCCCACAATTTGATCCACGCCCTCGTGGGAGGCAAAGAGCAGTACAGCTTGGCCACCTTGTCCTACAGTGCTTTTGATCCAATCTTCTACCTTCACCACAGCAACGTCGACAGGATCTGGGCCATCTGGACAGCTCTTCAGGAACTCAGGTAGGAGAATGATCTGCTTGGCGAGGAGGGCCAAAGAGGCATGTTACAGACTTCTATGTACCGGCTGTTTCTCCTTCCCAGAAAAATTTAACACTCAACTTGTTATTCCTTTTCTGTTTTCTATGTCAAGCTGTGCTGGGACTTCCCTGAAAACATATTCTGTGTAGATTTACATAATTCAATTGATATCTTTACTATTTTTCTATAACCAGTGGCCTAGCAAGAGTTAGTGCCGTTGAAGAGGGCCATGTTTTTCTCTCCCACTTTTACAAAATAAACCTCTTCAGTAGACTGAAAATATTGCCTCTATTTATGGCAGAAAAGGGGATGACCCTACGCACCCCACTAACTACGTCAATGCTTATAAACATAAGCATAAACCAGAGTCCTTGAAAAATTAGAGAAAAGTATGTTAAAATAATGTCAAATCTAGATTTTCTCTTTACCATTGCACACATAAAATAACAGATTTTCGCACAGAGAAGAGTAATATCCCCTGGACTATTTTGAGTTAACCTTAACAGACGTAAACCCCGTGACCAATCTATACATATAACAGTTGAATTGAAATTAACCTTGACCTTTGACCTACCCCAACAGAGGCAAGCCTTACAAGGCTCATTGTGCCCAGTCCTACACCTTCGAGCCACTTAAGCCCTTCGCCTTCTCCTCCCCTTACAACAATGACCAGAAGACCTTCACACACGCCGTGCCCAGGAACGTCTACGACTACGAGACCGAGCTCAACTACGCCTACGACTCCCTCGAGTTTGGCGGCCTGACCATCAAGCAGCTCAACGACTACATCAACAACGAGCGTAAAACCAAGAACCGCGTGTTCGCTGGCGTCCTTCTCTGGGGCATCAAGAGATCCGGTGAGTTAGGCCAATGGTAGTTTGTATCTTTTAATATACTGCTATGTATAAGTTGTATGGGCATTTGTTCGTATCTTTTAATATGCCGGTAAGTATAAGTTGTATGGGCATTTGTTTGTATCTTTTAATATGCCGGTAAGTATAAGTTGTATGGGCATTTGTTTGTGTCTTTTAATATACCTATAAGTATAAGTTGTATGTGTATTTGTTTTTTTTCGTTTGGTATATCTGTATTTGTATAGCATACCTACCCTATCCAATGTCCTTATGTATATGCACCAATTAAATTCTTTTCAATTCAGATGTTACACATTTCATGTATATTTTTAATCAATGTTTAAACAAATTATGTAATGTATATATAATATATATATAAAAGATTTTTTTGTTTAAATTGTGCACTATTGTGTAGTCATAAATAATGTCTTATTGAAATGCTTCCTTTGAAGACATTTGACACATTTTAGATAATAGCCGTTACAACGTGGGGAATGAGTAAAGACGTAATTTTTCTCCCTACAGCATTGGCCACACTTTACGTCAATGACGTTGAAGCCGGACGTTTCGCTTTGTTGGGTGGACCCTCTGAAATGGAGTGGCGATTCGACCGTCTATACAGGTAATAACTCACCTGATGTTGACCATTCACTTCACATTGTTGAATTTAAACCAACAAATTTTTTATTTCAAGAAACTTAAGCTTTATTATTCCATGAAACACAATCCTGTGAAACAAACTCCTGTGAAACGCAATCCTGTTAAACACACTCCTGTTAAACACAATCCTGTTAAACACAATCCTGTTAAACACAATTCTGTTGAACACAATCCTGTTAAACACAATTCTTAAAGATTCTTTTGTTATTTCCCTTTTATGGCCATTAGTAAAAATGCATTTCTGTTTTTTTTCTTTGTTCTGTTAAAAAGTTCACTTATTTAAAAGAGTCGTGAAGTCATTCCATGACAATACGCATTCTAGTGATATTCTCCAGAGATATTAGATAATATAAGATAACATTCTTTTAGTGATAAAAAAAAGAAAGTTTTTTTTTTATTACATTGTACATTTTCAGCACATAAATAAAACAATTTGAACACAAGACATCTACATTAAATTTTTTTCCCTTGTGAAAAAAACAGCCATTCAGTGAATTCTCTTAGCCATATTATGGACTTATCAGTTCTCATTAAGATTAGTGACTTCAGCGGGAGCACGCTGTTAAATTCGTACAGATTGGGGAATAAAAGAATTTTTTTAATATCTTTCAATCCTCGTTCTGAGAGAACGTATGCGTTGCAACATTAAAATAAGAATTATTTACTTAAAAAAATTATTACAACTTAATTGTAAAAAAACAACAATTAAAACAGGATTTAGCAATAATTTCTTGATGTGTTTCCACAAGGCATGAGATCACTGACAGCCTTGAGGAGCTGAACCTTCACTGGGCACAGCCATACAATGTCACCCTGAAACTCACAGACTTCGAAGGACACGAAATTCCCAACAACCCATTCCCCAAACCACAGCTCATCTTCAAGGCCAAAGAGGGTTAGTACTGCATAAAAACTCTCAAAACATACCAATCAAGTTCTACGAATTAAATTATTGTCCGTCCGCATTATCCAGCCACAAACAGAAATAAAAGTTTTGTATTGAACAGAAAACATAACCCACTAATAAAAACATTTCTTTTGATACAATCCTTTAAACATTTAAGAAAAAGTATATAAAGATGTCAGGTTAACAATGAAAAACATGCCAGGGACATTTTTAAATGCTTAAATTCAATTTTCTACCAAAAATCTTAGGCAATTTATTCAATAATAATGTTTAAAAAATTATTTTAAAAAACTGAACAAACCCCCTCCCCCTTTCCAAACTATTAAAATATTATTTTAATTTTTATCTCAATTATTTTTTTTTAAAAAAGACGTTGCTCTGGATATCTCAGCTATGCAAGAAAATCTAAATTTTATTGTATTTAATCAAAAGACATAAAAAAAGCACAATTTGATTAATTTCAATGGCTTGTTTTCTACATGAATTGCAATTTAGAAACTTCTGACCTTGATTTCATAAACTCTTAAATTTCTTACTTTGATTTAATGAACAGAGCCCAAGGATGTCTCTGCAGACACCATCAGAATCCGTAAAAATGTTGCAATCTTGACCGAGGCTGAGGTAGTCGATCTCCGCCAAGCTTTGGCCAATCTTCAAAATGACCAGTCCGCTGGAGGATACCAGGTAATTGTCTCAATTTATGTCCATATTGTAAAACCTGTTACCAATGTTTCCATGCGTGCAAAATAGAATTTGTGAAATAATGAAAATTATGATTAAAAAAAAAAAAATTACGTTGACCTTATACCCACCAGGATCTTGGACGCTTCCACGGCACACCCAACTGGTGCCCCACCCCCGATGCTGAGGTGAAGAAATCTTGCTGCCTTCACGGCATGCCCACCTTTCCTCATTGGCACAGGTAAGACAAAGATTTCAAGGCTATATTTATCTTTCCTCATTGGCAAAGGTAAGACAAAGATTTCATGGCCATATTTACCTTTCCTCATTGGCACAGGTAAGACAAAGAGTTCAAGGCCATATTTACCTTTCCTCATTGGCACAGGTAAGACAAAGAGTTCAAGGCCATATTTACCTTTCCTCATTGGCACAGGTAAGACGAAGATTTCATGGTCATATTTATCTTTCCTCATTGGCACAGGTAAGATGAAGATTTCATGGTCATATTGTTTTGCACAAATAAAATGTAGGCGTCAATACCTTGCTTCACGCATCATATTTCTTGTATTAAACTACCTTCTAAGAGTAAAAAGAAAAATGTGCACAAGTCTTGAAAATAGATACTTCATCTCTCACGCTAAACTACTTATTAAACTCATTTTTAAAAAAAAATTCTTCTAAAGGCTTTGGACCGTCCAGGCTGAAAACGCCCTACGTCGTCATGGTTATGTTGGTGCTGTTCCCTACTGGGACTGGACCCAGCCAGTAAAGTCTCTCCCAGACCTCGTCACTTCTGAGAAATACCTGGACCCTAGCAGCAACAATGAAATTAAGAACCCATTCTACAGGTAATCACTATTCAATAAAGTTATGAAATTATAGAAAAATATTTACTATATTTTATTTTATATCTGCACAAATAAATGTTTCTTAACTATAGCTAAAGTAAAATCTAGTGATAAAAATCATGTTTAAATGAAAATGTTATTGTAAAGACGTGTTAATTTCATATAGAAGACGTTAAAACAAAGAATTTGTTTCAGTACTATTAGCTTAAAACTGTTCCTTTAAAGATGTCATTTCTTTGCATCGTTAGCGCTCACATCACTGACGCTGATAAGGACACTGTCAGGTCACCCAGAGATGATCTCTTTGAACAGCCCAAGTTCGGACAAAACACAGCAATTGCCAAGCAGGTACGATTCTTGACATTATATCCTAAGTATTGCTCAAAGCGAGGCATTTAACTAAGAGAATTTTCTCATTCAGATAAGAGATAAAGATGAGATATGTTGAATCTTTAGAAATGTGTAAAAGGGGTTCGTACACAATAACCTTTAGTGAGGCAACTTAAAAAGTATTGTGACTGACAAGGAACAATTACAAACACACCAATGTATAGTTTTTGATAATTAATATTAATAGTTCTTATCTGGAATAGTTTAAATGCATAGTTATGTTGTACTTTCTATACATTAAAATATAACGAAATAGAAGTTAGTCACCTTGCATAAATGTGTAATAATTTAAAAACCTATTTGCCAGGTTCTCCTCGCCCTGGAACAAGACAATTTCTGCGACTTTGAGGTTCAGTTTGAGATTGCCCACAACTTCATCCACGCCCTTGTCGGTGGCAACGAGCAGTTCTCCATGGCATCCCTCCTGTACACCGCCTTTGATCCCCTGTTTTATCTGCACCACGCCAACACAGACAGACTCTGGGCCATCTGGCAGGTGAGTGCACTTAAAACAGCTGTCTAATTTCCATTTTAACTTGGCATTTCAGGACACTGTAACTATTTTGTACTAAAACAGTACGAAGGCTGGTCTATCTTATCTTATGATTAAAAAAGCGATAACTCTTAAACCTAAGTTTTGAAATGAACATCAGTTAAATCAGAGTAATATCCCTTAGTTACCAAAACAATTAGCTGATGAAAGAGATCCTAGTTAAATCTAATAGTAGTTAAAGCACAAAATACACAGATGTTATAGTTACACATTTTGAAATACCATCAACAAAAAATTTTCATTCAACTAAGTTACCAAACTGGTGTAATCAGGACATACGTATTTTTTGGAGAACTCTATAAATAACAGAATATCATAACGCGCCATCAAAGGTTGGTCTTAGACCCAGAAAAATAACTTTAACAATATTTATGTGATACTTTTGATATTCATGGGTTATTTGTGGGATAATTATACATTTTAAAAAAGTACTACTTTACGAGAAACAAAGTTGAAATTACATAATATTTCTGTTAATATTGTAAAAAAGATTCATTATGGATAATTTTATTTCATTTCTACCTCCACACCTTCCAAAAAAATAAATAAAATCATCAGGCTCTTCAGAAGTACCGCAACAAGCCTTACAACACAGCTAACTGTGCCATTGGACAACTGCGTAAACCCTTGTCACCATTCAGCTTGACCTCTTCCGTTAATCCCGATGCCAATACCCGTGAGCATTCACTGCCCTTCCAGGTGAGATTTCACGTTAGTAGGGAAATATACAAATTATTGAAAAAATAAATAGTATGTATTATAATTGGGAATTACAACTATTAAAAGAGAGTTAGTTGTCGGCATGAAAAATCTTTAACAGTTGATAGTTTTATTTATCTAAGTTGTATATTTACTTTTAGGTATTCGACTACCGCAATAACTTTCACTACGAGTACGATAACTTGGAGTTCAATGGATTGAGCATCCCACAACTGGCCAAGGAGCTGGAGAAGAACAAGGGAGATGATCGCGTCTTTGCTGGCTTCATGCTTCACGGTATTAAGAGATCCGCCCTCATCAAGTTCCAGATTTACAAGTACGCACCATTGCTTTCAATAGTTTTTATTCTCAAGACCAGAAATATGGATTGCTCAATCGGACTCTTCACGCAATCAAAATTCATTAAATAAATTCAGGCTAAAATCCGTTCCAATGAAAAATTGATTTCTGACTGGAACTAAGTAACTTATAAAATATATCTTTTTAGATTGTAAAGCATATCAAATCATGAGCGTTTATCAACAGCTGATATCATATAGGTCCAACTTATTACGCGAAGCAGAAAGCTGGTTCATGTTGTTTTCAATAATTATCATAATTTTAAGCTCAAGTAAACCCGTCTCAAATAAAATATTAGAATTTCTGTCTATAATCCTTGGAATCTTTTAAAGACATTCCAACTCTTGTAAACGTTTCTTAAATAATTTTTTTCAGGAGTGATACTGAGTTCAAAGAAGCTGGAGAGTTCTACATCCTCGGTGACGAGAACGAGATGGAGTGGTCCTACGATCGCCTGTACAAGTACGAGATCACCCAACAACTGGAAGATTTCGGCCTTCGCTACAACGACCGCTACTCCATCAAGTACCAGGTGCTCAACTTGGACGGCTCCGTCTACGGCACCGACACCTTCTCCACACCGACCGTGCTCTTTGAGCTGGGAACAAGTGAGTACACCACAAGAAACCAAAACAACAGTACAACGTTAAACCTAACTCATTAAAGAAACAAAATATGTAAATAAAGTATTATGAGTTTACGCCAAGATTGACTTGGTTTTAATGTTTGGTGCGGACTTGTAGATTTTAAATTAAACTGTTTGACCTTAACCCCGATGTATGTTTAAAGATCTATGAACTAAACTTGATTTCCTCACTATGTTCCAGGCAATCTGTACGGCAAGGAATTCCGTGCCGTTTCCACAGCTGCATCCCAAGTCCGTCGCAACCTGGACTCACTGTCCCAGGGTGAGATTGAAAGTCTCCGCGCAGCATTCCTGTCCATCAAAGAGGACGGAACCTACGAGAAAATCGCCTCTTTCCACGGCAAGCCTGGTAAATGCAAGGACAGCGCCGGCCGCACTGTTGCCTGCTGCGTCCACGGCATGCCAACCTTTCCTGCCTGGCACAGACTCTATGTGGAACAGGTATATTTGTTAGTGTTAATTATTTAGGCAAATAAGAGGGTTATTTTATTTAGTTACAAAATAAAACTCTAGTCCACAATTGAGGAACATTCCACGCCTTGCTGGAGTGCTGTTGAAAGTCTCTTGGCTGACGATGTTACATTACTCATCTACAGGTCGAGGAAGCCCTTCTTGGCCGTGGTTCTTCCGTGGCTGTACCTTACTGGGACTGGACCACCGCCTTCACCAAGTTGCCCGACCTCATCAACCAAGCCACTTACTTCAATTCACGTCAGCAGAGGTTTGAGCCCAATCCTTTCTTCAGCGGTTCTATCGCTGGCGAAGGAGCTGTCACCACAAGGTAACCACGCATTTTATTTTTTTAAAATCCCGTTTTTTCTCTTTTACATGAGGATTGTTATCGGTTTTTAGCCTTGCTTTCTATAGGAGGACTTGATCCTACACTGCAGAAATTTTGACATTGTTTGTTTTTCTAAAATTTACTGATTCTTGATTTATTGATCCAAATTACTTATAAATTTAAAATTTCTTTGTGACGTGAATAAAAAACAATAAGTTTCCTCAACGCGTAACATTTTAGGCATTAAAATAATAACTCACAAATGAAACGGCGGGTTAGCTGAGTTAATTATTCCTGATTATGATACGAATGATGCGATCGCTATAATTTCAAACATTGTCTGTCACCAGGGATCCTCAGCCTGAACTCTTCAACAATGACGACTTGTACGAGCAGGTCCTCTACGCTCTAGAACAGGACCACTTCTGTGACTTTGAGATCCAGTTTGAGATCATCCATAACGCCCTCCACTCTCTTCTGGGAGGCCGTGCCCAATACTCTCTTTCGTCCCTGGACTACTCAGCTTTTGACCCAGTATTTTTCCTCCACCATGCCAACACTGACAGGTTTGTGAGGAACATGTTCCCGTGTTAGAACTGCCAGTTAAGCTGAAATAATCAACCAAAGAAAAAATTCAAAAAAATTCAAAACTGTAATATTAAGGAAATCTTTTACATATCTGCACATCTTTGAACCTCAGATTTGATCAAATGAATCGATTAATATTGTAATAAAATAAACGTGATAAAATTGTTTGATCATGTTGGTGAAACGAGTCTGTGTCATTTAAGCAGCTGCGTGAATCAGACGAAGCAAGATTTATCGTTTTACAAAATGAGTTGTTCTCCTTTGTTCCAGGATCTGGGCCATCTGGCAAGAGCTCCAACGATACCGAGGACTTAAATACAACGAAGCCGACTGCGCCATCAATCTGATGAGGACACCATTGAGGCCATTCAACAATGATGAACTCAACTATGGTGACCTGACCCACAGATACAGGTATGTGGAACTTGATGACACAAATAAATATATTTTTCCGAATCCTTGGTGTTGGTAAATTAAAAAAGGGCTTTAAAAATTGAGTTTGAGCACAAATTTATATTAATGTTTCATCGGTATAATGATTGTATGTCCATATCTATTGAGTTTGTATATTCTTAAATTAAGTTCATGAACACAGGGACTGTGAAAATTGGTTCCTTTTTATATCAGGAATTGTTAAAAGATTTTAATTTTCTCATGCAACGTTTGAGGTAAATAATTAATTTTAGTTTTATCAAAGATTTGTCTCGCAAGTCTCTTTAAATACATGATATTATAGAGGCATAGATAATTAGAATATTTAAAGTAGAGATATAAATACATTTTGTCAACTTCAAATATCTTTCATAGCCGCCCAGCTGACACTTTCGATTACCGCAACCATTTCCAATACGAGTACGATTCCTTGGAGTTCAACCACATGACCGTCCCTCAGTTGGAGGCTCTGCTCAAGAAACGCAAAGAGTCTGGCCGCGTCTTTGCTGGATTCCTCCTGCACAACATCGGCCTGTCCGCTGTGGCCAACATCTACGTGTGTGTCCCAAGTGGACCCAAGGGAAAGAAGAGCTGCAACCACCCGGTAGGTAATCCGAACATCAAGTCTCGAGAGTGAAAGATGTTGGCATATAAGCGACTTTGCTATTTTTCTGGTCCATGGTTAATGGAAGAAGACATGTTTGATTACATGACTTTTATTTTTGCTATAGCTTTCTTTAAAAAAAAAAATTTTAACATGGTTTTATTGTATCCGTTATTCGAATTTATACGATTCATTTGATTCACAGCTATTTCAGTTTTGGGAAAAATTTAAGCCTTTGAATATTTTTAAGAACTTCCCGTACATGTATAGCGCAATATATTGTCGTTGTAAATTCGATAATTCTCACTGTGCTTTGTTTTCTTTCTTCTGTTAAGTTCTTAAGAATTGGAAAAGTTTTCAATTTTCTTTTGACTCATTTAGGCTTTTAAAAATAGAGACATTACACTACGTCATTTAACTACACATTGCTGGACAGTTCTTTTTTGGTTTTGCCTCAAAATTTTCCGATATTGTATCATGTATGACTTTGTGTTTCTAACAGGCTGGCTCCTTCTCCATCCTTGGAGGTGAACTTGAAATGCCCTTTGTGTTTGATCGCCTGTACAAGTACGACATCACCAAGACCGTCCGTGACCTTGGCCTCAAGCTCGACAACGCCGCCAACTTTGAACTCAGGGTTGACATCAAGGCCGTCAACGGAAGCCTTCTGGACTCTGACATCCTTCCTAAGCCCACTATTTTGTTTGAGCCTGGAACAGGTAAGTTGGAAGACTTGCTTACATTAACATTTTTGTGGAACAGGTAAGTTGGAAGACTTGCTTACATGACAACTTAAAATTTTTATGGCATAAGTAAGTTCGAAGACTTGTTAAGTTTATAACTTAACAATATTTTGGAGCAAGTAAGTTGTAACACTGGTTAATATGATTGCTTAACATTTTTTTTTGCTAAAAAAAAACATGGCTAAGGAAAATAAAATTGCCAATCAAGGATGTAATGAAGTTGTTTTTTTGTTGAATTAGGCTTAGGTTACAAAAATTTACGATAAATATGACGTTTTGAAAAAAATCGAAAAAAAATTAATTAAAAAAAATCTTCTATATTTAAAATGATTGTATAAAAACTGCTTTGTTAGAATGACTTATGTTCCATTCCATGAGAAAAAATAATACTTTTGTAACAGAGTTATTAAAAAAACAATTTCCGATCATATCTAAATTTCCTATTGTTTCTGGGTTAACATCAGACTTTGCATATTCAAATCACAGACGTGAACATTTCAGTAACATTTCATTCTTTTTTTCAAGGCGAAAGACAAAAGTCTTCTGGTGAGGTAACCAACTACCTTGTGAGGAAGGAGATCAACTCTCTGAGCCCCCGTGAAGTCCAGTCTCTGTACAGCGCCATGGAAGCCCTCCAGGCCGATAGCTCAGCTGACGGCTGGCAATCCATTGCCTCTTTCCATGCCATCCCCCCACTGTGTCCGAGCCCAAGTGCAGAAAACAGGTTCGTCATTTTTTACGGCATGCTGGGATTTGATTTAATATAAGACTTTCTACATGACACAAAGAAATGTATGCATTTTATACGATCCTCAGGAGACAAATAAAAGTGACCAATTGTATCCGATTTTCTTTGCCTATTGGAAGTAACATTAACAACAGAAAACATTAAACCATGTTAAAAGATATCAAGGATAATTTAGAAAGGACTGAGTTCAAACATTGTGAATTAAATAAATAGTAGTACAAGATATGTTAACGATTTGGAAAAAAATAGAGACATGAGATTTAAAAGGACGTTCCAGCAAAATGTACGGTATTCTTTAGAAATCAAAATGTTTTGATTTTCTTGTTTTATATTTTCTGATGTAGAAGGCTTTTATTTTTTATATTTTTGTTCGTTTATTTTTATTTTTGTTGTTGTTGTTCAAAAGATACAAAGTTTGGTCAAATATTACAATGTAATAAATCAAGAAGGCCATTTGTTTTCTTTGAAACGGTATAATTTTAAACTGCCGTGACTGTTATCAGTGATTTTAAGTTTGTTTAAAAGTTTGTTTAACATATTTTTTAAAGCTTTGTGACAAAGTTATATTTTAAAAAATTATGCCATTTAATATAATAATATACGATTTTCAAATTACAAAACATAGACTAATCATCATGTTTCTGTCCTTCCACAGGTACGCTTGCTGTTTGCACGGCATGGCCACCTTCCCACAATGGCATCGTCTGTACACAGTCCAGGTCGAGGATGCCCTCAAGCGCCATGGCGCCCTGGTCGGTATCCCATACTGGGACTGGTCACGCGTCAGCGACTCTCTGCCCCACTTCATCGATGACGAGAACTTTGTGGATCCTGTCACCGGTGACCAGAAAGCCAACCCATGGAAGAAAGCCAGGATTGAGTTCGAGAACTCAGAGACTGAGAGAGAAGTCGTTGTGAGTATCTTTCATAAATTTATTTTTTAAGAAAAGTAATTAAACTTTTAATTATCAATGAGAAGCTATCTATAAAATTTAAAATATATTTCTCATGAAATACATTTTATAATTTTACAACTCTGAAACTTGTTAGGAATTCAAGCAGGAATATGAAGAACAATGACAGATGTTTTATCTTTCCATTTCATTTTTACTAAAGTTTTAAATATTATCCTTCTAAAATGTAAAGATAACCTTCATTTAAAATTTAGCACTTAAAGCCAATATCTTTCAAATTTTAAGTACGATATTAAATTTTACAAATTACAAATAGATACCAAAAAGCAATAACATTCCTTAAAGAGGCCCAAAAATCTTTAAATAACTAGTTTAAATTCTGAGTAGTATCTTCTTAGAATTGATTTAGAACTAAAATAGAGTCTGACAAAATACGTACCCACAAACCGTAGTTTGTGAATTTGGCAATATGTATTTGTTGATATAATAGTAATTTATATTATAAAACTAGTTGTCGCATTATACAATTTAAATCCAAGACTTCTTTGTTGAAATCATACTTACTGCTACATGAATATTCATAATAATAAATGCATTCTCCACAGTCTGACAGACTGTTTAAGCGTGGTCCTCACGGATGGGACACCTGGCTGTTCAACCAGGCTCTGCTGGCCCTGGAGCAGGAAGACTACTGCAACTTTGAGATCCAGTTTGAGATCACCCACAACGCCATCCACTCCTGGGTCGGCGGCTCCAAAGAGCACTCCCTGGGACACCTCCACTACGCCTCATACGACCCTGCCTTCTTCATCCACCACTCCAACACTGACAGACTCTGGGCAGTCTGGCAAGCTCTTCAGAAATACAGAGGTTATGACCCCAACGAGGCCAACTGTGCTTTGGAGCAGATGAAGGTAGATCTAGGGCTCTAACAATACAATACAATACAATACAATACAATTTTCTATTTAAAATTTAGTGGGGACATGTGCCAATAATTATTCATGGATTTTTGCATGTTCAAAACCAAATTTTCTGTTACAGTGAAAAATTGTAAGTTTAATCAAATCATCACATTGTTTTATCCAGGATCCATTGAAGCCATTCAGTTTTGGACCCCCCTACAATCTTAACCCTCTGACCAAAGAGTACTCTCGCCCCGAGGACACCTTCAACTACGCCGACCACTTCCATTACCGCTACGACAACCTGGAGTTTGTTGGACTCAGCATTCCCCAGCTGGACGCCTTCATCAAGGAGCGACATGAGCATGATAGAGTCTTTGCTGGTGAGTACATGAGTGTGACATAGTCTTTGCTGGTAAGTACATGAGCACGATAGAGTCTTTGCTGGTGAGTACATCAGTAGTAGTGGCATAGCGTGGGACATAAAGTAATGTAAGAATAATCTTATAGGAGCATGTACAATAACGTACCCAAGTGCATTGAGAAGGACACACACAGAAACTAAACTTAGATCAAGATTTCTGATGTTATAATTGATTTTCTTTCGCAAAGTTACATTCTTAACAGCAGTTTGCGCTTTAATTAAGAAACCTGAGTTTATTTAGCCTTGAATTAAAGTTAAATGAAATTTAGATGTATTCATGTAAAATTAAAGCAAAACTATTTAGACTAACACAATGATTGTGAAACAATAATCAGACGTAGCACAATCACACTGCAACTATATTCAGATATAGCACAATCACACTGCAACAATACTCAGATATAGCACAATCACACTGCAACAAAAGTCAGATATAGCACAATCAGACTGGCTGTAGGCTTATAGATCATTAAATTCCGATTAACTTACCAAATGCAGAGAATTTTCGAATCTTATGAGTTCATTATTGTGTATCATCGTTAACTTATTACCACAGAGCGAATGATGGTGGAAAAAACTTGTCAGTTTTATATATAGATTAATGGATCAGACATTAAGACAGCAGCTGAGAAGAGAAATATTTATTGAATTGTTTATCGATTACACTATGTTCCTAAACTAAATTTAAGTCAACTATATTATACTGTTTCTTTTAAATCCCCAGGTTTCCTGCTCAAGGGATTCAAGAAGTCTGCTTTGGTTGACTTCGACATCTGCGCCGATGGCAAATGTTTCCCAGGTGGTTACTTCACCGTCCTCGGTGGATCTGCTGAGATGCCATGGCAATTCGATAGACTTTTCAAATATGAGATCACTGATCAGGTATGTAGTGGGTTTAAATATGAGATCACTGATAAGGTATTTAGTTGGTTTAAATATGAGATTACTGATCAGGTATGTAGTTGGTTTCAATATGAGATCACTGATAAGGTATGTAGTTAGTTTAAATATGAGATGACTGATCAGGTATGTAGATGGTTTAAATATGAAATTACTGAACAGATATGTAGTTAGTTTAAATATGAGATCACTGATCAGTCATGTAGTTGGTTTAAATATTATTTTTTTCATGAACGGGCTCTCAACTCATAAATAAATTGTAATTACAATCTAAAATTCACACCAGCACTTTCATGTGTCATAATGAATCAAATTTTTAAGAGGGTTAGGGAGTTAAATTTTTAGATGAAAATGATGTAAGATTTGTATAAAATTTAATCCATAAGGTAGTATTCCTAATGAATAATATCATCTGGTAGGGATATTATTTTAACTTTAAAACGGCGTAAACAATGATAATTATTTAAATTACATCCAAAGTGACACATTATATGTGATTAAAAGATTTGACCGTCAGACATAATAAAATCGCGCATCTTTCACAATTGATATAGCAACCACATAAACATTAAATGAACTAACCGTCATGAAAACGTTAAAGGTACAACTAAGCTTTCTTCTTTGTGATGTTTCCACGCCCATCCCTTAATATTTTACACATTTTCAATTTATAATTTACATACTTTGTTGAACGATTTCCTAATTTTCTAAAAAAACAAGCTGCTGGAAATACAAATTACCTTAATGCTATGTGTGTTTCTTGCCATTCATGATATATCTGTGTATATTCTTGCTGCGCAGCTGAATGAACATAAGCTGAGATTTGACGACGAGTACAGCTTCCAGATTAAAATCCGTGCTCCAGACGGCACCGAATTGAGCAGTGATTTGATTGCTACCCCCAGCGTAATTTTGGAACCCTTCAAACGTATGTCCGGGTGCACCTGGTGCACCTTGTTAAAACATTGTATTTATAGTTTCAATAATTTTAAATGTTAAATAAATATAATAAAAATTCTTATTAATTAAAAAGAATGTATGCTAAGATACAATGTCAATAAGATTTAAAGAAATTGTTCTGTGATGATAGAGATCATTTACACACATTTACATAAACCACAATTCTAAAGTGAATCAAAGAAAATAATTTATTAACATTCACAAACAATAAATAAATAATAACACTTGTTAGTAACATTATCAACAAAAGTCGCAATCATACAGTAAAAAATATCAAATCAGAAGTGATAATTACTTGAACGTACTAATTTTACAAAAGAAAACGGTAACTTCATTTCAGGAGACTATGACCTTGAGAAGGTCACTCCCAACTTTGTGCGTCGCGACCTCTCGACACTCACCGAGCGTGACCTTCAGGGACTGAAATCCGCCCTACGTGACCTTCAGCTGGACGAGAGTGCCGACGGCTGGGCCAGTCTTGCCTCATTCCACGGTGCCCCCAGCAAGTGTGAGAATGAAAGCGGTGCCAAGGTCGCCTGCTGCATTCACGGCATGCCCACCTTTCCCCACTGGCACAGGTTGTTCACCGTACAGGTAAACTGTCACCGTATGGGTAAACTTTCACACCATGAACCTGTGTAATTATGTAATCCATCTTCTTTGTCCACTACAATACTAAAAGAAAAAAGAAAAATCCCTTAAAAACCAATTGAACGGATCAAGGGGTGTGAGTTTTTTTTAACACTTTGAGCTACACAATGCTTTGAGGGCTTCTTTAATGGATGTGATGTATTTAAATCTCATGGCTTCTGCAACTAAGATTGATATCAACAGATTCTTTGATGAGCTTGTTCGTTGTTAGCAGTGGTCTAAGAACTGATTAGATTTGTATTCCTTCCTTTAAACTAAGGTTGAGCGCGCCCTCCAGAGACACGGTAGCGCAGTCGCCATTCCATACTGGGACTGGACCAAACCAATCACCGCCCTGCCAGAGATTTTCACCAAGGAGGACTTCTACGATGCCTGGAGAGATGAGGTGAGTCACCTGTAATGTTAAACTATGTTCACGTGAACCTTCAGCTTATAGTGTGATATAACACGCTGATTGGCAAAGGTGATGATATGTCTGTTCTGACAGGAACTATTTTCTGTATTTCACAGGTTGTTGATAACCCATTCGCTCGCGGATTTATCCCAACTGAAAACACATACACAGTCCGTGACGTCAGACCCGAGCTGTTCCAGACGTCCAAAGATGGAAGCCACTCTGACCTCTTCGAGCTCGTGCTCTCCGCACTGGAACAAACCGACTACTGCGACTTTGAGGTCAGCAAATATGCTTTTAGTTTTATAATTTAAAATCCAACAATGAGAATAATCTTTAGTGTTCAACAACGTTAATCCTTTTTAGGCATACAGGTCAATTGTTCTAAGTAATATTTTCATAGTTTACTTGTTCAAGAACACCGCACTGTTGATTCAATCAAATAGGTTCTTTGAATCCCATTTGATATTTTTATGTGCTATAACACACACGTATTCACCAACCACAAGTTATGTTGTACCCCGTTTCATTATTTTTTATGAATTTTAAATAAACTTATTTGACATTTAGGTCCAATTCGAGGTAATGCACAATGCTATCCACTACTTGGTGGGAGGTCTGCAGACCTACTCCCTGTCTTCCCTGGAGTACTCCGCCTACGATCCAATCTTCTTCATCCATCACTCCTTCGTGGACAAGATCTGGGTCGTGTGGCAAGAGCTTCAACAGAGAAGACACCTGCCCTCCAACACCGCCAACTGCGCCCTTAACTACTTGGCCGAGCCCATGAAGCCCTTCAACCTTGACCTCAACATCAACGCTTTCACAAAGTGAGTCGCCTTTATTAAAACAATTCGAAAAACAAGATAGAAACGACAATTATGTTCGTTTGTAAAACACTTGAATCAAATATTCATACATGATAATTAATGTCTGTTTGCCTTAACGTGAAACATCTTATAAGAAAAGCAGAGTCAAACTTGTTTTCAAATTGTTTTCTTTCAAATTGTTGTACACATTATGAGGGAAAAATTTATTTTTATTTTTTCTATTACATTTAAATGCACGATGGATATTTTCATCTGTCAAATATTACCTAAATAAATAAATAGGTGAAACAAATCATTTTAAATCCAAATTTTTATGATTATAAAATGCATCTTTAAATGTCATGAGTACTTGACTTATCTTTTCTCTTGTGTTGGGTTAAAGCACACATATTCCATGTTTTAAATTACAAAAATGTGCCTTAGGAAACACGCAGTTCCCAGAGACGTGTTCAACCATGAGGAACTCGGCTACCATTACGACAACTTGAACATCGGTGGCTACAATCTAGACCAACTCGAGCAGCTCATCGCCCAGCACCAGAGCCGCCCCAGAGTGTTTGCCGGATTCCTGCTCAAGGGAATTAAGACTTCCGGATCTGTTGTACTGAACGTTTGCAAGGTTGGTTAAAAGAAAACTCTCTGAAAGTTCATAAAGAATTCCATATAAATATTGGTTATGATTTAGTAAATATCGTTTAACGAGTTTTACAAGATAAATTATATGCATCATATTAATCCTGACTCTCCAGGGCTCTCAATGCACATACGCCGGGCGCTTTAACCTACTCGGTGGACCCTCTGAGATGCCGTGGGCTTTTGACCGTCTCTACAAGAAAGACATCACCTGGGCTCTGGAGGCTGCCGACATCAAGCCCGAAAGCGTGTTCGATGCCGACTCACTCTTCACCCTGGATGTCAAGGTCTTTGATGTTGAAGGTCACGCTATCAATGTCAAATCGGTATTCCCAACTCCAAGCATCATTTACGAGCCTGCTAAAGGTAGACTACAAATTTTCATGACATATTTATTACATATAAACATTACTTTAAAGTGAGATCAATTTTATTTCTTAAATCTAATATCTTTAATTATTGTAAAACATAATTTTTTTAATGGAAAAAAAACATATAAGCCAGCTCAATTGCAACATAATCTAAAAAGTCACACTGTATACAAGGAGATGTGGGTCTTTATTCTTTTCAAGCAATTTACAATCATCCTATATAAATACCGGAAAAATTTTTGTTAAGCACAATTTTAAAAAAGCTATAGTTTTATTTACATTTCTGTGAAGCTTAACAAACTTTTTTTTCTTAATTTTACACAAAAATAACCCCAAAACTGTTGCTTATGGTGCCTTAGTAAGAAACGTAATTATTTTCTGTGCATCAGGTGTTGCCAACGTTGAGGTCACAAGTGCTGTTGCTGGCGTTGGTGTCCGTAAAGACGTCTCATCCCTAACCGCGTCTGAAACTGAGAGCCTCCGCAACGCCCTCCGTAAAGTCCAAGAGGATGAAGGACCTAACGGCTTCCAGGTATGTTCTAGCACCTCATCAAAATAAAGTACCAGACAATCAGATCATATCATCACTCACCTAGTAACAATCAAGTACAAAACCATTTAATCATTAATTATAATTACGTATATGATTGATAGTTATTATCTAAAAAAAATTGTCCATTTTTCTTTAATAAAACTTTGAATACTAAACAACCATTAAGAAACAAAGTACTTTTCTAATTATTATTTTTGACTTGCAAATTCTCCCTCCCTAAACCAGAACATCGCCAGCTTCCACGGCAGCCCGGCCAAATGTGAATATCAAGGTTATCCCATCGCTTGCTGTCTCCACGGCATGGCCAATTTCCCTCAGTGGCACAGACTGTACGTCAAACAGTGGGAGGACGCTTTGACTTCTCAGGTAACTATTTATGTTATTTATCTTTTAAAAAACTTAACCAGCGAATATTCATATTATGAGCTAATCTTTAATAGAAACACCAATGACTTCATAAAGGAATTCAAGACTAGTAAAAAATAAAAAATTACTAACTCTCTTTGGGAGAAATATTTATTTTGCGTTGACAAAAGTTTCAAAATGTGCTTATTTTCAATATGTGTATATGTAAAAATTATCTATGTACGTCATTATTGTTGCAAAAAATAAAATGTAACCATGTTTTTGAAATTTAAAACAGTGACATACCACATACAAAGATTCTGAATAAATTGGCATGTGAACATGTTACCTTTCCTCAGGGCTCCAAGGTCGGCATTCCCTACTGGGACTGGACCACAGCGTTCACCGCTCTTCCCACCCTCGTCACAGAGGAGACCAATAACCCATTCCACCACGGCAAGATCTACAACGGCGAGATCACCACCAGGGCACCACGTGACCAACTTTTCAACGACCCAGAGTTTGGATCTGAGTCCTTCTTTTACAGACAGGCGCTCTTTACCTTCGAGCAGACCGACTACTGCGACTTTGAGGTACGGCAATAATTGAAACCTTTTTTTTAAAATTAAAAACATAAATTTTGCATTGAAATGAATTAAAGTGATGGTTGAATCAGACTTATAATAAAAAAAATAAAAGAATGGTTTGATAATTTTCTTTAGAAATTAAAAAAACTGATTATTTCTCCAAATTGTAATTATTTTTTAAAGAAACTTTTGTATAAAAGGCTCATGCATATCCCCGCAGGTTCAATTTGAAATTACCCATAATGCCATCCACTCCTGGACCGGAGGCAGCTCTCAGTACGGCATGTCCTCACTAGAGTACACCGCCTACGACCCTCTCTTCCTCCTGCACCATTCCAACGTTGACCGTCAATTTGCCATCTGGCAAGCCCTTCAGAAGTTCAGAGGCCTTCCTTACAACAGCGCCAACTGTGCCATCCAGCACCTCCGTCAACCCATGAGGCCATTCAGTGATGAGAGCAACCTCAACGCCATCACCAGGGCAAACTCACGTGCCATTGATGCATTTGATTATGACAGGTGATTTTAATTGCTTCTAATTACGACAGATGTGTTTACCTTTAAGATATGTTCAAATATTGAGTTCATCATCATCCCACAGCTGACTGAAGCATAGAGTATCAATATTCCCAAAGTTGCATTGCTCTACACAGTTCTTTTATCAGTATCAAGTCATTCTTATGTCTCGTCTTCATGTTTTATTAACTCTCTCACAACTCTTTGACTCTTGTAAGTTCCGGTTCAGCGCCTTCCTTTTCAATAAACTTCTATTTTGGTGTTATATTTTAATGGTAGTGTTTTGGCCACAGTCAAGATTTGTTTTGTCCGTACTTCAATTAAACAATTAAAATACAAACCGTTTATGTGATGGAGACTTGCCAAATATAAAATAGAATTTCTTCTAAATTATTATTTTATACATATAGAACAATAGGAATATGTATTAAATATTTTAAATTTTGTTCAAACTTCTTGTTCTGATAAATGTTTTCTCTTTCGCAGGAAAATAAGGGATACAATTTATTGGTTAAAAATGTATTTAAGTTATTTTCACATTCATATACTACCATGAAAATATTCTCCTAATATTTAAACCTTTCGACCTGCTATCTCTTCAGACTCAACTACCAATACGACAACCTCAACTTCCACGGCCTGACCATCTCTCAACTCAACGACTTGCTCGAGAAGCGAAAGGAAGAAGACCGCATCTTCGCCGAATTCCTTCTCCGTGGATTCAGCGCCAGTGCTGACGTCATTTTCAAACTTTGCGACGAGAAAGGACACTGCGAGTTTGCTGGTGAGTTAGTGATAGTGTAACCAGGGACACTGCGAGTTTGCTGGTGAGTTAGTGATAGTGTAACCAGGGACACTGCGAGTTAGCTGGTGAGTTAGTGATAGTGTAACCAGGGACACTGCGAGTTTGCTGGTGAGTTAGTGATAGTGTAACCAGGGACACTGCGAGTTTGCTGGTGAGTTAGTGATAGTGTAACCAGGGACACTGCGAGTTTGCTGGTGAGTTAGTGATAGTGTAACCAGGGACACTGCGAGTTTGCTGGTGAGTTAGTGATAGTGTAACCAGGGACACTGCGAGTTTGCTGGTGAGTTAGTGATAGTGTAACCAGGGACACTGCGAGTTTGCTGGTGAGTTAGTGATAGTGTAACCAGGGACACTGCGAGTTTGCTGGTGAGTTAGTGATAGTGTAACCAGGGACACTGCAAGTTTGCTGGTGAGTTAGTGATAGTGTAACCAGGGACACTGCGAGTTAGCTGGTGAGTTAGTGATAGTGTAACCAGGGACACTGCGAGTTTGCTGGTGAGTTAGTGATAGTGTAACCAGGGACACTGCGAGTTTGCTGGTGAGTTAGTGATAGTGTAACCAGGGACACTGCGAGTTTGCTGGTGAGTTAGTGATAGTGTAACCAGGGACACTGCAAGTTTGCTGGTGAGTTAGTGATAGTGTAACCAGGGACACTGCGAGTTAGCTGGTGAGTTAGTGATAGTGTAACCAGGGACACTGCGAGTTTGCTGGTGAGTTAGTGATAGTGTAACCAGGGACACTGCGAGTTAGCTGGTGAGTTAGTGATAGTGTAACCAGGGACACTGTGAGTTTGCTGGTGAGTTAGTGATAGTGTAACCAGGGACACTGCGAGTTTGCTGGTGAGTTAGTGATAGTGTAACCAGGGACACTGCGAGTTTGCTGGTGAGTTAGTGATAGTGTAACCAGGGACACTGCGAGTTTGCTGGTGAGTTAGTGATAGTGTAACCAGGGACACTGCGAGTTTGCTGGTGAGTTAGTGATAGTGTAACCAGGGACACTGCGAGTTTGCTGGTGAGTTAGTGATAGTGTAACCAGGGACACTGCGAGTTTGCTGGTGAGTTAGTGATAGTGTAACCAGGGACACTGCGAGTTTGCTGGTGAGTTAGTGATAGTGTAACCAGGGACACTGCGAGTTTGCTGGTGAGTTAGTGATAGTGTAACCAGGGACACTGCGAGTTTGCTGGTGAGTTAGTGATAGTGTAACCAGGGACACTGCGAGTTTGCTGGTGAGTTAGTGATAGTGTAACCAGGGACACTGCGAGTTTGCTGGTGAGTTAGTGATAGTGTAACCAGGGACACTGCGAGTTTGCTGGTGAGTTAGTGATAGTGTAACCAGGGACACTGCGAGTTTGCTGGTGAGTTAGTGATAGTGTAACCAGGGACACTGCGAGTTTGCTGGTGAGTTAGTGATAGTGTAACCAGGGACACTGCGAGTTTGCTGGTGAGTTAGTGATAGTGTAACCAGGTTCTGAAAACATTTCAGTTCAAAGAATCAGTTCAGTGAGCTGAGTTAAACGACATAAACACATCTTTAAAGTAAAGATGAAGTCATACACAAAAATTGACTTCATTTGTACTGTCATACACATACATGGAATGTCAACATGTTCAAACACATAATCTATTGATTTTTTTAAAGATAAAGTTAACAATTATTGTAAAGAAACAATTAAAAAGACTGTACTCCTGACAAGTGTTGACTTTAAATTTCTGAGAGGATTTGCCCCAACATTGCTTTTGTTTTATTTTTCTTTCAGGCACATTCGCCGTTTTGGGCGGACCACTTGAAATGCCATGGGCCTTTGACCGTCTCTTCAAGTATGACGTCACAAACGTCTTCAATAAGCTGAACCTCAGAACCGACTCCGATTACCACTTCGATGTTGAAATTAAAGCCATCAATGGAACCTTCTTGGACAGCAATCTGATCAGATCTCCAAGTGTGCAGTTTGTCCCCGGAGTCAAGAGTAAGAACTCTTTAATCTACACTCATTTTAATGACGTCATTTCATCTTAAGCCCTTGTTTACATGACTGTCCATGAAAGTACTTTATAACGTGTTGGATGAAGATATTTGAAGAATAAAAAAAACACTGTTTATACAAGACATTCACAAATGTCCAATGCCTACTTGTTTATACAAGACATTCACTAATGTTTAATGCTTACTTGTTTATACAAGACATTCACAAATGTTTAATGCCTACTTGTTTATACAAGACATTCACTAATGTTTAATGCTTACTTGTTTATACCGGTACAAGACATTCACAAATGTTTAATGCCTACTTGTTTATACAAGACATTCACAAATGTTTAATGCCTATTTGTCTATACAAGACATTCACAAATGTTTAATGCCTACTTGTTTCTACAAGACATTCACAAATGTCCAATGCCTACTTGTTTCTACAAGACATTCACAAATGTTTAATGCCTACTTGTTTATACAAGACATTCACAAATCTTTAATGCCTACTCCAGGATTCTACGAGAAGGTGGCCGAGAAAACCGTCGTACGTGACGATAAGCTGGTCAGAAAGAACGTGAACCAGCTGACCTTGGACGAGGCAGCCAACCTGAGAAACGCACTGAACCAACTCCAGAACGACCAGGGCCCCAACGGCTTCGAGGCCATCGCTGGATTCCATGGTGCCCCCTTCAGGTGCCCAGCTACCGGCGATGACAAATATGCTTGCTGTGTGCATGGTGAGTCCAATGGATATGTTCACAACGTAAGCTATAGAGATACGTGGAGATTTTAGGTTCCTTCGAAATCAATTGAATTAATTTTGTGATGATTTGAAGTTATAGGAAAATGAATTTAGAATTCCTATGACTGTTTTGTTCCCAATCACCACACAGGTATGCCCGTGTTTCCCCATTGGCATCGTCTCTTCACCGTCCAGATTGAGCAGGCCCTCAAGAGCAACGGAGCCCTCATCGGCGTGCCATACTGGGACTGGACCACTCCGGTCAAATCTCTGCCCTCATTCTTCGGAGATGACGCCGACCACAATCCATTCGCTTCATTCAGAATCGCAGCCGCTAATGAGGTAAGTTACATTCACTTTGAGGTAAATGAGGTGACTGATTTAAAATTTAAACAAGACTTTTTAATATACATATTGAGCTGTTCCTTTGAAAAAAGTAGAAAGCTTTTCAATCCCAACGTTGTATTCAACCTTACATTTCTTACTATTTCATTAACATGGTGTTTAACCTTACACTTCTTATCGTTTCATTCAGAAAACCACCCGTGAGGTACAACCAGAGCTGTACAGTGAACGTAAAGTACACGGCTACAACTACCTGTTCTACCTGGCACTGACCACTCTAGAGGAAGACAACTACTGCGACTTCGAGGTCCAGTTTGAGGTCCTCCACAACGAGATCCACGCCGACATCGGCGGCTCAGGCACCTACTCCATGGCCACACTGGACTTTTCCGCCTTTGATCCATTCTTCATGATCCACCATTCCAGCATTGACAGGATCTGGGTCATCTGGCAGGTATGTCATTTGAATATTTGGGTCAGCTGATAGGTATGACATTGAATATCTTGGTCATCCCACAGGTATGACTCCATATGCACCAGGTTCACATCGACATTCATTAAAATTTCAACGGCAATGGTACACACTACACAATTTCTATCATTTGCAAATCCATGGCAATCTTTATTTATTGACCTCTCATATTTTCAATATTATGCAATACTACAATAATGAACAGTCAAAAGTACAGAGCTTTTTTTATATAAATTAAATCTGATTTTTACTTAATCAAAACTCATAATTTTGTTAAAAATACCTATATAATAACGTATTGCTTGAATAAAAAATTTTTAAAAAAAGCATTGTGGATCTCAAACAGGAACTTCAAAAACTCCGCCGCAAACCATTCAATGCTGCCAGCTGTGCTGGTCCCATCATGGAGAGACCACTTCAGCCTTTCAGCTACCCCGAGGTCAACAAGAACGAGTTCACTCGCCTGAACTCTGTGCCCAATGTCCTATTCGACTCTGAACGCCTTGGGTACAAGGTAAGTTGAGAGAAAGCCACCATCTGTGAAACAATATAAGTGTACTCCGCCTGATGACCGTCTGATGAGGACGGTCTTCGAAAAGTCATAACAATATCATAGGTTTTGGAGAAGACAATTATTATAATGAAAATAATAATTCTGATCAATTAAAGTCATTTAAATAATACTTAAGGTTCTGAGAACAGAATGGTTAAATTTATGATTGTTTATTTGGACCTTCGATGGGAGCTCTATGAATACATCTAGACCTTAGATGGGAGTTCTATGGGTACATCTAGATCTTAGATGGGGGTTCTATGGATACACGTAAACCTTAGATTGGAGTTCTATGGATACATGTATTCAAAAGATATAAATTATTCAGCCATTTTCTTCAACATTATTGGTTATTGATATACTTAGTACACATTTTTAATCGTTTAGAAGAATTTTATTATTCAACTTTAATATTTATCAACTTTTTCTATTTATTTTTTTCAAAGCACTAATTTTGTTGGAATATAGCGGTACATGTTTTAATGATGCATTTCAGAAGATTGTGTTTTGTGCATTTCTTTCTGTGTTTTGTGCACTTTTTTCTGTGTTTTGTGCACTTTTTTCTGTGTTTTGTGCACTTCTTTCTGTGTTTTGTGCACTTCTTTCTGAGTTATGTGCACTTCTTTCTGAGTTATGTGCACTTCTTTCTGAGTTATGTGCACTTCTTTCTGAGTTATGTGCACTTCTTTCTGAGTTATGTGCACTTCTTTCTGAGTTATGTGCATTTCTTTCTGAGTTATGTGCACTTCTTTCTGAGTTATGTGCACTTCTTAAAACTTCTTTCTTTTTTTTGTACATTTCTTTCTGTGTTCTGTACACTTCTTTCTGTGTTTTCTACACATCTTTCTGTGTTCTGTACACTTTTTTCTGTGTTTTGTACACTTAAGTCTTTGTCTTGTAAACATTTTTCTGTGTTGTGTACAGTCCTTTCTGTGTTTTGTTCACTTCTTTCAAGGATTTTTAACAAATGAAAGAATTAGAATGGGTACTCTCGCATGTAGTTTTTGTAATGTTGCGTTTTGCATTTCAATGTGGTATAATATAGATTTTTTTCATTTCTCTTTTAATATGGTCAACTTTGTACCGCGCTTTGAGCCTTTGGGGATAAAGCGTGATTTTCAAATAAACTTTATTATTATTATTATTACTTTCAGTACGACAAACTCGAGCTCAATGGTTACAGCGTGGAAGCGATCAACAATATCATCAAAGATCTGCACCACCAGGAGAGGATCTTTGTCGGCATCGTCGTCTACGGTAGACAGCAGAGTCTTACCATTCAAGTAAGTCATGTAACAGTCAAGCTTAAATATGACAATTATGATGCATATTTAACATAAAATTTGATATATATATATAAAAAATGAAAACCCTTTATATGTATACAATCATCATGTTTTGTAATCACAGTAATGGTTACTGCTTGTAAAAATTTAAGAGTTAATCCCTCCCCACAAACCACCCACAATATATATTTTTATTATTCAAAATGGATTCATATTTCATAAATTATATTATAATTCTGAATCATCTTCATCGATATCTTATATAATGCCAAAATCTCTTGTATATGGCAGATCTCACTAGTCAATGGCAATGATGAGATAATCGATGCTGGAAGCGTCCACATCCTCGGCGGCGAAAAGGAGATGCCATGGGCTTACGAGAGAATCATGAAGATTGACGTCACAGATGCCATCCGCAAGGGCAAAATCTCCACTGACCAGGCCGTGAAGGTGAGCTATTGAATTATTCCCCTTAGCACCATCCAACATCTTGCTGTCAAGCCGCATGGAAAATCATAGCATCATCACTCATCCTGCTGTCATTGCAACTCTTAGCATCATCACTCACCTTGCTGTCATAGCGCATTGCAAATATTTACACTGTCACACATCTTGCTGTCATTACATTGCAAATCTTAGCATCATCCCACATCTTGCTGTCATTACATTGCAAAATATTAGCATCATCCCACATCTTGCTGTCATTACATTGCAAAATATTAGCATCATCCCACATCTTGCTGTCATTACATTGCAAAATATTAGCATCATCCCACATCTTGCTGTCATTACATTGCAAAATATTAGCATCATCCCACATCTTGCTGTCATTACATTGCAAAATATTAGCATCATCACACATCTTGCTGTCATTACATTGCAAAATATTAGCATCATCACACATCTTGCTGTCATTACATTGCAAATCTTAGCATCATCCCACATCTTGCTGTCATTACATTGCAAATCTTAGCACCATAACACAACTTGGTGTCATATTACATTGCAAATCTTAGCATCATCACACATCTGATGTCATAGCGCATTGCAAATATTAACACCATAACACATCTTGCTGTCATAGCGCATTGCAAATTTTAGCATCATCAAACATCTTGCTGTCATAGCGCATTGCCAGTATTAGCACCATCAAACATTTTGCTGTCAAAGTGCATTGCAAATCAATGTGATAACATGTGCCAGATTAAAATATATTCTCAGAACACTGACTTGACTTAAACTCTAATTAATATGTCTGAACTCGATGTCCTTCAGGCCAGATACGTCTCCACCGACTACCACGGAACTGTCATCCAGGAAAACACAGATTATGCCATCATTGTTGAGAGACATGCTGAGCAGGACTATGATGTTGTGGAGATTCCAGTGGGCAGAGAGTACCCCCTACCACCCAAGGTATGGTCCTATTCGGAGTTCAGATGTGTTAGGGACACCGATTATCATGGGGGTCTATGTTGAACACATTTGGGTAGAGAATGGAATGGAAGAAAACATCTTTAACTCTGATTTGACATTGTAATGCAGACGTTGCTGAAAATTTTGTGTCAATTTTTTTGCACAAATAAACTTGAGTCGAAAACGGGGGGTGGGGGGGGGGGGGGGGGGGGGGGGGGGGGGGGGGGGGTGGAACCGTTTGCCTCAATTTTCGAGGGAAATTTAAAATGATATAAAGTCATTTAAAAACCATTGTTAAACAGATTTGAGGACATCAAACCGCTGTGAGCATGTTAAAAATGCATGGACATTAGCGCAATAAAAGTACTCAATCATCATTGATCATTAAAATATTGACTTCATTACACAATAATATTTATTTATGAGCAAAATTCAACTTATTTTCCCTCATTTTACTCGGTTTTTCTGAGTTCAGTACAGATGGATTACACATCAGCCTCTGTGGTAACAGTAAAATGACATGCAGAAGTTAGGGTCTGTAGCTCAGAGTTTAAGAGTGCTGTGCTCGTTCTGACATATTGTGAGGCCGATGATTTTTAAAAAAAAATCTCATCCCGTCTGCCTTAATCTATATTCTCGTTATTCAGATATTATAGATAGATTTAAAACATATCCTTTAGTTTTTAAAAAAGGTATTTTTTCACATTGAGTGAGTTTTTGTTTTCAAATTTTGATAAGAAAATAAGAATTTTAAAAAAAATTGACATAGTTTTGTTATGAACAAAAACATCATTTTTCAAATGGTTTCAGCAAATGTGTAATGTTACTTCTTTTTTTTAACACAACAGATTGTCTTGAAGAAGGGATCCCGCGTCAAGTTCTATGCTGGCAACCCCAACTTCACCTCACCCCTCGAGAACCTCGGCAGCTACACTTCTTTCAGCAAGTGCTCCATCCCACCGTTCTCCTACCAGAGCTACGCCCTCGGTGTCGTCCACACCCTGCAGCCAGGTGACTACTTCTTCGTGCCCAAGGACAAGGCCCTGTGTGAGGCAGGCAAGAGGATCCAGATCACCGTGGAAGATGAGTAAACGAAACAGGTAAAAACATAGTTTTACATCCGATCAGGGCATTTTTTCACTCAGTAGTATTAATATAAAACAAGCGGATTTGGGATGAAAGGGGGGGGGGGCGTTTTCGAAGAGGAAGCATGACGCACCAGAAGCAATATACAGCTAGTCATCGACTTACGACCATTCGACTTTACGACCACAATCACTAGCCATACTGTTTTAGATTTCTAGATGAGTAAACGAAACAGGTAAAAACATAGTTTTACATCCGATCAGGGCATTTTTTCACTCAGTAGTATTAATATAAAACAAGCGGATTTGGGATGAAAGGGGGGGGGGGGCGTTTTCGAAGAGGAAGCATGACGCACCAGAAGCAATATACAGCTAGTCATCGACTTACGACCATTCGACTTTACGACCACAATCACTAGCCATACTGTTTTAGATTTCAAATTTATTTCTGCCTGAATTATCAGTCGAACAACATTGTATGCAATCATCGGCGGTCGTTAACATAGAAAATTATGATTTATAACAATAATAAAAGAAATGTATGATATTATTTAACTTAAATATTTTTATAACATCACTTCACATTACTGTAAACAAAGCGTACTCAACTTATGACCAAATCGCATTACGACAGGTCTGTTGGAACCGATCGTGGTCGTAAGTCGAGCACTAGCTGTATACATAAGAGTAGAGATATCTACCGCAAGCTGTAAAGTAGTATGGCGGTACCGAACTGTGTAGTATTAAAATCGCACAGAGCATAGAGATCGTTAAGGGGATAGAGCTGCTTTGAAAGTTCCAAAATATATTTGAAATGCAGCTAAGTAAATATTATGAAATATTTCGAAACCCAACGTTCCTGTGCAGAACAGTTTTAAATGCATTTTATTTCAAATGGAACATCCTTAGATTTATTTTTTTTTTATTATCACGCGATTCAGAAAAACAAAACAGGCGCAATAATGTCACAAAACTCTCCACATCACATGAAAATTTACAAAAAAAAATAATGGAAATTTTACAATTCTTTAGGGTGTTCCAGAAGATGAGTATATATAAGAGATAGACTGTACCGGTATATAAAAATATTAGCATTTTTTTTAATGCACGCTTTGATCGTTGGCTAACCCAAATCAATAGCATTAAAACAAAGGGTATAGATTTATTTCCCCCCCCCCTCGGCGGGCCAGATTGTGTACAATTGAAACGTGTTCTTGGTTTTCTCAACTGCCTCTGATTTTATAATTTTGAAATCGTCTCATTAATGAATTTTTTATCTTTTCATTTTTGTTCACAGCACCAATCAACGAGAAAACCCACTTGGTGTCAGTATTAGCTTTAGGAAAGTTTCTTTGTATGTCTATTGCCCGATGGTGATTTACACTCAAATACCATCAGACTTGTACATGTCATAGCGAAAAGAAAAACATTGTTTAATTGTAGATTGTAATTATGTTCGTTAAGCAACGAATTGAATTTGATGATGTATGGGCAATACAATATGTTTCATTAAAAACTTTTAACAAATTATAAAAGTATAGGAAATTGATATCTTTATCTATTTTTTTTTTTTTTATAAAAAATTATTTTAATTCTAAAGGGTATGTATCAATGCATCGTGCAAACTGTTTCAAACTGGTGTATTCGTGTGTGTGTAGTTTCACCGAACCATCATGATTAAAAAAACAACAACATGAATCTCATTCCTCTACCACCCCTACTTTTCTTGCATGTTTACCATATGTTCATCATTGTGATCTTATCTTTTCTTGGAGCTGAAACAAAGCTCAATAAAATTGTTGTAACACTCAAAACATGGCGTCATGACTTATATTGAAATGAAAGTTGTAGGATTTCCTCTTCGTCTCTTTAACGTTGTTTTAGCTGTGTGTGTGTGCTGGTTGATGCCCATCGCAGCATACGGCGGTGTAAGAATAGGAACGGACAACGGGAGAAAGGAATTCATAAGTTTAGAAGAAAGAACTATTTCTTGAAAGATGCAGCTTTGAAAAGGTATGTTGCTGGAGACGACAGGTAATGAGTCGAAAAGTCTAACTCTAGAAAATGCCACTTACAACTGACCGTGGCTGAAGACTGGTAAAAAAGAATGAAGTGTGTTGCGTGCTGTGTCTAAAGTTATTTCATAAATATTGTCTATAATTTAATTTTTTTTTTATTATTTGCGGGCTGTTGGGTCAAGTGTCAACATATAATTTTGACTGGCGGTTCTTCTCTCAGTGGTATGGTGGTAACTACTGATGGAGTAATTTTACAGTACATTTTTCAACATTTTTATATTTAACTTATTTTATGTTTAATCAGGGCATAGATTCTCCATAACAGTTGCATATAGTCCATGAGAGAAGTTTGAGGTTTCCCCTACCACCCCCTTTTGTTTTACAAAAATAAAAAGAAGAAGAAAAGAGAAGATTTAGGGAAAAAAATACATTAAAAACTTGGCTGCGACTATTCGCACCCGGGTGCAGAAGTGAGAGTTTGGGATTAAAAAACTATTTAAAATATTATTGTTTAGTTTGTAAGACAAATGAGGTATCAAATGAAAGATAATTGAATGGACTACATGTTTCTAAATTTAATTCTTCAGTTAAACTAAATTAAACTACCACAAATGACTTCCGATTAGCATTTAGTCAAAATGGACCCGGGTCCTATTAGACTCAATGCTATTCAGATGTCATTTGTGGATGTCCTTGACATTGAAATAAATAGTACACTTCTTCCTTGACCTTGAAATAAATTGTGCACCTCTTCATTGACGTCGAAAACAATTATGCACTTTCTTCTTCCTTGACGTTGAAATAAATAGGAAACTTAATTGGTGTTAAAATAAATTAGGTACTTCATTAACGGTGAAATAAATTGTGCACGCCTTCCTTGACGTTGAAATAACTTGCGCACTTCTTCATTGACGGTGAAATAAATTGTACACTCAATTTTTCTTTACCTTGAAATAACCCCCGCAGGGACGTTTAATAACTGAATATTGAAGCTATCTAAGGGAGACGTGCCTTGTACTCTTTCAAACTATCGGCTTTTTCGATTCGGGTAAGGATGACTAAATGGTATCATACTAAAAAAGTTGCTAGTCCTAATATTGATTTAAGGGTATCATACTAAAAAAAGTTGCTAGTCCTAATATTGATTTAATAATATCATACTAAAACTGTTGATAGTCCTAATATTGATGTAATGGTATCAGACTTAAACAGTTTGTAGTCCTAATATTGATGTAATGGTATCAGACTTAAACAGTTTGTAGTCCTAATATTAATTTAATGGTATCGTACTAAAACGGTTGCTAGTCCTAATATTGATTTAATGGTATCATATCAGAGAGCAAAGAGTTAAAAGTCATTTTTAATTTTAAATTAAACATGTATCAAATCAGTTTTATAAGTCATTGATAAATGTATTTAACGTGGAGCTGTATTTTTAATTTGTTAAGCAAAAATATTAAAGTACACAGTGCAAAAATAAATTTAAATAGCAAAGAAATTTTAAAAAAATAAATAAATCATTAATTACCAGTGTAGATCATAGATGAGACTTAAAATATTCAGGGGAAAAAAAACAATCATAATAGCTTATCATCAAATCCATTTATAATATTGTAAGCCTAACTATGAAGTCATTGAAAATTTGTGAAGAACAAAGAAAATAGTGACAGTAGAGATTTTATAACAGCGTTTAATATTGTTATGGTGACTAAAACAAAGGGGAGGAGATTTGGAAAAGGGACATAATTACTAAATTTGTTTCAAGGAAAATTATTACATCAAGAAATGGCGTCAGCGGGGCGAGTTGCACTCTTTACCCCCTCCCCCCCCCCACCAAATTACCCCTCCCCGGCCCGACGCATCGGGCCGCGGAGCGGCACGTCGGGGATGCCCACTCGTCAGGACGGCCCCCACCCGCGCCCGCCACCCAAGTCCCCCACCCGGGCGCTTGGGCGCTCGACCAGGGCCCCGCCTGGGGGCCGCCCCAACCAGCAGGCACCCGGTTGATCCGACACTATGCGTTTAAATAGTGCACTCGATCGACTTTCTTATGGAGTTGGGATGGAAAATGTACGTCCTTATATCTTCCCCCACCCATCCCGGGAAAGCGTCGGACGCCCTATAAGAGGGATTCCACAGTGGGCTTCCTCGCGCTGTAGCTGTTATGTATTGTATTATTTCTAAATGCGTCTACCATGTGATAGGTCTCTGTTATGTATTGTACCATTTCTAAATGCGTCTACCATGTGATAGGTCTCTGTTATGTATTGTACCATTTCTAAATGCGTCTACCATGTGATAGGTCTCTGTTATGTATTGTACCATTTCTGTTCGTTTGTTTCTTCAAAAATGTCATCTTTGAGTTGGGTGTTTTGTGTCTAAGTTGCTGGTTATATAATTGAAATCCCATCGTATAATTATAATGACCTTCCCTCTTTTGTGTGAGTATTTCAGTGTTTGTACTAGTGTGTTGTAAAATAGTGTTTTTTTTTTCCTGTGGGTTGTGCAGGGGCGTGGATTCATGAACAAGACTAAGAAGTCTGAAGAGCAATCCAAATAGAAAATGACATTCAATTTTTTTTTTTTCGCGTATCGGTGTGCGCATATTACAGGATGGCCCCCCAAAAAATATGATAACATCGCCTTATTGTCAGACGCATTAAAAAAAAGGGCGCCAAGGCTTACAATAAGTTGCTGAGAAGCAGGGAGGTGGAAGGCCCGGAAGGGGTGGGGGGGGGAGGAGACATATTGAACATGTTGTCTGACTAGCGTAATAATTTTCTTACAACTGTCAATAACAAAACATTATATTAACTCGATTATATAACCATTTGTTACGAGATGTTCTCACTCTTTCTGGACCACCCTGTTAGTCTTATGGCTTATGGGTGATTTTATTTGAATTTGAGTAATTTTTATTTAAAATTTCATGCCATCAATTTTATATAAATAAGACTAGGCCTACTTACCTTTTTATAAATAAAATAA